TCGTTAGTTATTGTAATTCATTAGTTCTAAGATACATATTTTTTATACTTTTCATACTACAAATCTTAATCCGTATATACTCGAGTATAAGCCGACCTGAATATCAGCGAAGGCATCTAATTTTACCACAAAAACTGCATTAAAAATGTGCCTTAAAAAAGGCTTGCACTGGAGATCCCCTTGCAGAGGGGTCTCGGGGAGGAGATGAGCCAGTCAGGGTGCGATGTAACAATGATGAGAAATACAACTTTCCTCTAGTTCCTAAATGTTTCCTCCCCGCTCCCACTACCATGACTCGAATTCGATCTTGCAAGTCTGGCTAGACCAGAAGAGGTACACTGGTACAGATTGGAACTGAAAATACAGGGAATCCAGGACGGATGAGCCCTATAGGACCAGTGGTGTGAGTGGCAAAACAGGGAGGGTAAAGGGAGAATGGGTAGGAAAGAGGGAACCGATTACATGGAACTGTGTGTGACCTCCTCCCTGGGGGACAGACAACCGAAAAGTGGGTGAAGGGAGACGTTGGACAGGGCAAGATATGACAAAATACCCATTTATAAACTATCAAGGGCTCATGAGGGAAGGGGGAGCGGGGAGGGAGGGGAAAAATGAGGACCTAATGTCGGGGGTTTAAGTGGAGAGAAAATGTTTTGAGAAACGATGTACAAATGTGCTTTACACAATTGATGTGTGTATGGATTGGGATAACAGTTGTATGAGCCCCTAATAAAATGTTTAAAAAAAAAAGAAGAAAGAGGTAAATGGGAAGATATCATCAATAAGTAAAAGAAAAAAAAAAAAAAAAACTCGGCTGTACACAAGTATATACGGTAACTGATGAGTTGTTATAGGTTGCTCCAAAGGAGCCCTGTGGTTTAGCATTTGACTGCTAACCAAATTCAGACCCACCAGCTGCAGCCACAAGGAGAAAGATGTGGCACTCAGTCTGCTTCCATACAGATTACAGACTTGGAAACCCTGGGGGGTGGGTCTGCTCTTTGGTATAGGGCTGCTGCAAGTTGGAATTGACTCTCCATAATAGGATAATAGGTTTGGTTTGGTGTTTATTTTGGTATTTGTTGAGATTATATATAGCAAAACAAACACATTAAACAATTTCTGTATGTGCCTTTTAATGACAGTGATTATTATTTTTTGAGTTGTGGCCATTTTCAATCTCTTTTTTTTTGAGTTGTGACAATTAACATCAATTCACTACCTCCTAAGGTTTCTGCCTTAATTTTCAAGTTGTTGCCAAATTGATCCCACATAGCTAGTTCATAAAAGAGTATAATGTTCAACTTTGTTTTACTAATTTGTTTGATTTTAAGAAGACTTGAGGGAATAATTTTTGGATTAAAATGTAAAGATTATCTCAAGGCAATAATTCCAGGGTTTCATCTAGCTTGACTGAACTCAGAATACCAGAAAGATGTTTACTTGCATTAATTGATTGTGCAAAGGCATTCTGCTCTGTCGATCCAAGCAAATTATGGATAACATTGCAAAGAATGGGGATTCCAGAACATTTAATTTTGCTCATGCGGAACACACACGTACATGGACAAAAAGCACGATGTTTGAACAGACCAAGGGGATACTGTATGATTTAAAATCAAGAAAATGTGTCAGGGCTGTTTCCTTTCACCATACCTATTCAGTCTGTATGCTGAGCAAATTAGAAGTGCCGGACTGAATGGAGAACAGCACAGTTACATTAAGACTGGAGGAGGATCTGCCGTGTAGATGACACAACCTGGCTTGCTGAAAGTGAGGAGGAATTGAAAATGGAGGACTACAGCCTTCAGCATAGATTGTACCTTAATATAGAGAAAACACGAATCCTCACAACTGGACCAATAGACAACAATATGATACATGGAGAAAAAATTGAAGCTTCTAACTAACTGACTGACTGACTGACCGACTGACTGACTAACTAGCAAGCTTTCAAGGACTTCATTTTGTTTGGATCTACTATCAATGTTCATGGGAGCAGCAGGCAAGAAAAACTGACATTATTTCTTTTTTTTAAATCGTCTTATTAGGGGCTCATACATACATCAATTGTGTAAAGCACATTTGTACATTCATTGCCCTCATCATTCTCAAAACATGTTTTGATTGATTGATCTGTGTACAGGTCCCACATAGCACACTTTAAATGTTCTGGAATTCACATTCTTCACAGTGTTATATATAGTTTGTTATGATCCACACAGTCAAGGGTCTTTTTGCATAATCAGTAAAACACAAGTGCACATTTTTTTCGTATTCTCTGCTCGCCAGGATCCATCTGACATCAGCTGTGGTAGCCTTCGTTCCGCACTCTCTTCTGAATCCGACTTGAGTTTTCGGCAGTTCCCTGCCAGTGTACTGCTGCAACTGTTATTATTTTCAGCCAAGTTTTTCTTGTGTGTCACTTTAATGGTACTGTTTGATAATTTCCATGTTCTGTTGGGTCGCCTTTCTTTGGAATGGACACAAATTTAGGGATCTCTTTTAATGGTTGGCCGGATAGCATAGGCTAGTGAGTACTTCCTGGTGAATCCAGTGTTTGAAACATGTCCATTGGTATTCTGCCCATTTCTGGAGCTTTGTTTCTTGCTAACGCCTTCATTCCAGCTTAGGCTTCATTCACCACTGCCAGTTCTTGATCATACGGTTTCCTCTTGGAATGGCTGAAAGTCAGCCAGTTCTTTTTGGTACAGTGACTCTGTGTTCCTTCCATCTTCTTTTTTCTAAGCGTTTCATTTGGTTTATGTTTAAAATAACTAATTTGATACATGTAGATAATCTGGTAAGTAGAGTAACCTGTTATGTTTACATTTTCTTCTTCACTCAGTCGTTGGTTTTTTTTTTTAAGTTTTAAAAAAAGCATTTTATTGGGGGCTCGTACAGCTCTTATTACAATCCATACATCCATCTATTATGTCAAGCACATTTGTACATTTGTTGCCATTATCGTTTTCAAAACATTTTCCTTCTACTTGAGCCCTTGGTATTGGCTCCTCATTTTCTTTTTCCTTTCCCTTCCCCATGCTCTCTCCCTCATAAACCCTTGGTAATTTATAAATTATTATTATTTTTTCATGTTTTACACTGACCGATGCCTCCCTTTACCCACTTTTCTGTTGTCCGTGCCCCTGGAAGGGGTTATTTGTAGATAATATATATGTATCATATGTAGATTATTGGTTTCCCCTTCCATCTTCTTTTGATGCATCCTGCATCAATACACATTTTGCCCCTAGAATCCTTCAACATTTTAATTCAAGGCTTAATTTTTTGTTTCTAGTTTCATCTGAAATCCACTTTGGTTTTTGCTGTCTCTTTAATGACCCTTTTGCTTTCCTCATGTGTGATGTTCTTGATGTCATCCCACAATTCATCTGATCTTTGGTCATTAGTATTCAGTGTGTCAAATCTATTCTTGAGATGGTCTCTAAATTCAGGTGGGATATACTTTTTTTGATTCTCTTGAACTTGGTTTAATTTTCTTCAGCTTCAACCTGAATTTTCATATGAGCAATTGATCTGTTTCATAGTTGCTCACTGGCGTTATTTTGAGTGATGGTATTGTACTTCTCTATCATTTGTTCTCACAGATGTAGTAGATATGAGTCCTGTGTAGTCCATCTGGTGAGGTACATGGGTATAGTTGGCATTTATGTTAAAGAAAGGTAGTTGCAGTGAAGAAGTTGTTAGCCTAGCAAAATTCTATCATCGATCTCCAGCTTCATTTCTATCACCTAGGCCGTATTTTCCAAGTACTGATTCTTCCTCTTTGTTTCCAACTTTCTCATTCCAATCACCAGTAATTACCAGTGCATGTTAGATCAGTTTCAGACTTAAGAACTTAGTAAAATTGTTGCATTTCTTCATCATTGGCTATAGTGGTATGTACATTTGATTAATAGTTGTATCGACTGGTCTTTCTTATAATGGGATGTAGCTGTTATCCTAGCATACAGAATTGTGCTTCAAGATAGATCTTGAAGTCTTTTGGTTGATGCATGTGGTGCCATTACTCTTTGGATTGGTCATTCCTAGCATAGCAAACCATCTGATTGATTAGTTCACTAATGTCTATGGTATCAATCATTACATATCCCACTTTATTCTTGATGGCCGATCGTCTTCAGTTCATCCTTCATACAGTCCACATTTCAATTATGAACGGATGTTGGCAGCTGTTTTTCCCATTGTTAGTTGTGCTCTAACAGCAGATGAAGGTTTTGGAAGCTTTGCATCATCCATGTCTTCAAGTTCAACTCTGCTTTGAGGAGGCATCCCTTCCCTCGGCATATTTGAGTGTCTTCCAACCAGGGGGCTCACTTCCAGCTCTATGTCAGACACGATTCCTCCGCTCTTGAGAAGGTTTTCAGTGGCTACTCCTTGGAAGCGGACTGCCTAGTCTTCCTAGTCTTTTCTTAGTCTAGAAGCGCCACTGGAGCTTGTTCCCAGTGCGTGACCCTGCTAGTATTTGAAATACCAATGGTATAACTTTCAGCTTCACAGTTACACAGGACAGACTGAGAGATGGATAGGGTTGGATAGGAAACTGTTAATTATAGGACTAGCTATTTCTCCCTTCAGATCTACCAGTGTTAGATTTGTGTATTTAGGTGTCTTGATACTGGATACATACATTTGGTTTGGTTTTTATTAGCAGCAACATTTCTTAATATATAAACAATGATGTTTCTTACAATGAAACATCTTAGATGTGATGAAATATAGTGACCATCCTCATTTTTTCAGACTACCTGATTGGTATAGATAAACATCTTGTACTTCTGTTTTTAAATTTTTACTTAGAGCATCAAGTTCCTTAAAGTAATGTAACAGGATCCTTTCCAGAATTTTAAGCAAATTGCTTTGTATATTCGGTATTTTGCTTTAGGATAATAGACAAAATAGCTCTGATGGAGCTTAGGTAAGCGTGCAGTTGGAAAGAGTAAATTTACCTTTTTTGCTTTCTCTTATTTTTTCAGGAGCAATAGAGAACTGTGGACAATTCTGCTTGGAAGGTCAGCTCTGAGAGAGCTGGTAAGTGATGATGTATCCTGTGTGCCTTCCTAAATTCTTCATGTAGCTTATAAACAACCAAACAGAAACCAAATGTAACGGCTGTTGAGCGAGTTCTGACTCAGAGGGACCCTGCAGGACAGAGTAGACCTGCCCGAGGCTGTGAACTGTTAGGAGAGCAGACAGTGTCATCTTTGTCCTGCCAAGCAGCTGGTGGGTTTGAACTGCTGACCTTATGATTAGCAGCTCAATGCACAACCCACTATGCCACCAGGCATAGTAGCTTAGATTACCAAAAAGCCTGCTTTGTCTTAGAAGTAAGTAAACATTTTTTATTCTGAAAATTTGGTAAACATGTGTACCCTACTTCACTCTGATAAAATCAGAGTACACCTTGTAGTTTAGCTAAATCTTTGTTTTTCTTTGTATCTCAGTGATTCCTGTTCTGAAAAATTACCAGTGCTGCTTGATTAGCTACTGTGGATAGGGGTATAAGCACCATTTTACTTCAGCCTAGGAAAGATCCTTAGATCTAAAGTATGTAATCCCTAAAGGGTAATTCTTCATGTTGCCCTTCAGCATGACCTTGTAAGGATAAAGTGATATGATGACATTCAGTTACTACTATAATTGTTATTATCATTAACATAGTGAATGTTACACCCTTTTAAACCTTTTACATTTTTTATTTGCCTCCTTTAGAAGTGTATCTTAAAAGAGACAGGAATTCTGTGAAAGTTTATTTACAAGACTTGAGTGTTAGACAGTTAGCTTCTGCATATTTAACATTAGAAGAACAGCAAATCAATTACAATCTAGCTACTTGATGGAAATTAGGGGACCACTAGAATATTTACCAAGATTTTTCTTAACATGGTGAAATTGTTACAGTGTTAAGTACAGAAAAGCAGGCTACACAATTCTATATTCAAAATGAGTTCAATTATGAAGAAAATTGCATATTAAAAAGATTCAAAGGAATATGTAATCCTCCGTGTGATCCTAAAGACTGATTAAATTGCCTTTATAGAATTGCCTTCTTCCTAAGGCATCATCAGAACAAAAAAATCTTACCGTAGTGAATGATGGGGGCAGTG